TATGTTCTATTCTGTTCTGTTCTAATCTATTCTGTGCTATTCTATTCTTTTCTATTCTATTGTATTCTATTCTGTGGTATTCTATTGTGTTGTATTCTATTCTATTCTGTTCTTTTCTATTCTATTGTATTCTATTCTGTGGTAGTCTATTGTGTTGTATTCTATTCTGTTCTGTTCTATTCTATTATATTCTGTTCTATTCTATTATGTTCTGGTCTATTCTATTCTGTTCTATTCTAGTCTGTTCTATTCTAATCTATTCTTTAATATTCTATTCTGTTCTGTTATATTCTGTGCGATTCTATTGTATTGTATTCTATTCTGTTCTATTCTATTCTGTTCTGTTCTAATCTAATATGTTCTGGTCTATTCTATTCTGTTCTGTTCTATTCTATTCTATTCTATTCTATTCTAGCTAACAGAGAATGTTCTCAAAACTTTGACTTGCGTTCAGGCAAGGTTCTCTCAAAGTTATGAACACATTCTGTGCGATTCTATTGTATTGTATTCTATTCTGTTCTATTCTATTCTGTTCTGTTCTAATCTAATATGTTCTGGTCTATTCTATTCTGTTCTGTTCTATTCTATTCTATTCTAGCTAACAGAGAATGTTCTCAAAACTTTGACTTGCGTTCAGGCAAGGTTCTCTCAAAGTTATGAACAAACATTCTTCCAGTAACTTCTCCAGTAACGTTCATTTAAAGTTATCTCGCTAAAAACTTTCTCAAAATGTTAGCACAAAAACATTATTTATACTTCGTTCATGGAATTTTTTTTTCCCCCCGAAACATTAGTTGGACATACTGTATGCCTAACTTTTATAGAACTACTTACTAGTTTCAGATGCAGGGGCGTCGCTAGTGGGGGGAAAAGGGTGACAGAGTGAATAGGGCCCAGAGGTTTGTGGGGCCCGTGATCGGGGCCCCATAGCAAATTCATTGCACAGGGCCCAGAATTCTTTGCGACGCCCCTGTTCAGATGGTTTGGAGAACATTCAAAAGTAACGTTCACAAAATGAGAATGTTAAATTTAAACATTTAAAAAACTGGACGTATTGAACTTTCAGAGAAAATGTAGAAATAACATTTTCATACATTCATGGGAACGTTAGCAAAACGTTCTTAAAGCATATTTTTGATAGCTTGCTGCTGTTCATTAATTAAACATCTCCTCACAGTCGTTCACACTGTTTAAGCATGTCATTTCACCTCAGATGAAGGATGTTTGAGGAGATGAATTATTGAGGCACTAGAGGCACAGCTGTTGGGTTGACAGTTTATGAATAAAATAATGAAGAATAAAATAAGCTCTGCTGAAGGCGATGAAGCTCTTGGGCTTTAAATTAGCTTGAGTTTGACAAAAGATCAGGAAACATTTAACTGTAGTTTGTTTGAAAACGAAATCATCGCAGTTCTTCTATAAAGTACTACTACTGTGTTTTTAGTATACCGTGTTTTATATGTCACTGATTCTTGAGACATGGGACAAAACACGTCCAGCAATTGTAACTGCTATTAGGTTTAAAAGTGAAAATATTTTCAATTGTAATTGTTATGAGGGATTAATAATAGAATGTATTTAACACAATTATCCCCTTATTGGAGGAGCGTAGACGAAGGAACAGAGAGTATCAGAAAAAGTGAAAAGAAAAAATCAGTGCACAGCCAGAATTAAAGGAGGAATTTAAGACAGGAGAGACAAAGGTGGAAACAGAGAGATGAGGAAGGAAAAATAAAGCAAATCAAGGATTTTAGTAAGAGAGAACAGAGGAAAAAGAGAAAGAAATGGAAGCATAGCCAGCGAGAATCAAGAGAGCGAAGAATAACATAACAATAAACATTCAATAACATACTCACTGTTTATTGTTTGTTTTAATACAGTAATTGATTGATTCAATGTATTTGATAGTTCAAATGACTACAAATTCAAGTTTTCGTCACCTCCGTCAGATGAATATTTTGAGGATATTTCATTATGATATTTTATATTTGTTGGTCATATGTGACCCTGGAGCACAAAACCAATCTTAAGTGTCAATTTCTCGAAATTGAGATTTATACATCATCTGAAAGCTTTCCATTGATGTATGGTTTGTTAGGATAGGACAATATTTGGCCGAGATACAACTATTTGAAAATCTGGAATCTGAGGGTGCAAAAAAAATCTAAATATTGAGAATAATTTTGACCCATACAATGTATTGTTGGCTATTGCTACAAATATACCCCAGCGACTTAAGACTGCTTTTGTGCTGCAGGGTCACATATATGAAAACATAATCTGTCTGCTAACACGAGAATATGTTTTGAAATGTTAAAAACATCTTGCTTGCTGTAAAGATCAAGTTAAAGTTATATTACACAGTCCAATTCAAGAAACACAGACGGAAATCTTTATAATAAATATATTTATACATATTGAACTTTTTTTTTTTTTGTGGCCTCTGTCTGCCTTGGTAAAAAATAGTGTTTACTATACTTCTTATAGGTCTTGCATAATGTGAGTGAAAATTAATTTGTGTTTTTGCTGTCTTATGGTGTTTGCAGACGTCAAATAGACGTCTCCGTGATATATGTGTGCTATCAGGGTTCTCTTTAGGTAACAAAAACCCTTGAACGTTTTGGAAAAGTTAGTTCATCTTTATAAAACCTAAAAATAACCATTAGAAAATGTTTTGTATAAGTTGTCTTTAGGTTATCACAACAAACTGTTCTGGAAGGTTAGTTTTTACAAGAAAACCTAGAGATAACTATTATTTGGTTTCCTCCTCAAACAACCTGATGGGAATATGTCAGTTTTACATCATAAACATCTTAAAGACATCTTCTAAACGTCTATTTGACATCTGATAGGAAACGTCCTATAGACGTATTGCAGATGAACAAACACTCTAAAAAATACGTCTTGCAGATGTAATGCAGACGTCAAATAGACGTCTCAGAGATGGACGTGTGCTAACAGACCCGCGATGCGCACTACCTAGTGCCCTAGCAATAACCACATATCCAAAATGAGTTTACCTAAAGTATGCTACATTATCAGATGATAATACTAACAAGACCACTAATTAGTCTGCATACGGTCCGTGAGACGGAGCGGCAGAACACAGACAAGCGAATAATCTGTTTTTGATTTTTTTTTATCCATATGAAAACATACACAATCCTTCCATTTATATTGAAATATAAATACGCGTGAACAGTTTAAATAAATGGTGCTAACAGCAACTTTACAGTCAGACTGATGTGTTTACAGTACAAATAAAACACTAATACATGTATTAATCCATAACAAACACAATTAAGTCCTTAACATGTCATACGGTACATTAAAGAAGTACAACCCAGCTAACAGAGAACGTTCTCAGAAATTTGACTAACGTTCTGGTAAGGTTTTCTCAAAGTTACGAACTAACATTCTTCCAGTAACGTTAATAGAACGTTCGTTCTGGTCTTTAATAACATTCTCAAATGTTATTATTCATACATTGTTTATGGAACGATTTTCTTAAACATTTTAGTTGGACATTCCTCTGACATTTTTCAAATGTTCCCGGCTAACAGGGAACGCTCTCACCAACATTTTTTAAAAGTTACATAAATGTTAGGACAAAACGTTTTTAAAGTAAAGTTTACAGAATGTTCTGATAACTTTATTAATATTTGATACAAGTTCTCATAATGTTGAGCGAAAACATTCTGAGACCAACTTTCTCGCGATGTCCTTATGATGATGTTTGTACTTGATGAACATTCTAAGAAACATTTTTGTAACTTTTAAAAAATGTTCTAATCATGACAAGAAAACTGGACATTTTAATGGTCTTAGATTCTGAAAAATAAATGTCTAAATAATGTTAAATTTGAGGTCAAAAGTTAGTAGAACATTGTAGGACAAGGTTTTGTAACGTTTAAATAATATTCTCATCACAACAACAAATATGGACATTTAATGTTCTTAGAATATTAAAAATAAACATTCAAATAACATTATATTTTGGGTGAAAGAGTTAGTAGAATGCTGTAAGTAACGTTTTAGTGACCTTTAAATAACGTTATAATCACAACAAGAAAAACTGACATTTTAACGTTCTTAGAATTTTAAATATAAACATTCAAACATTGTTATATATTGGGTCAAAATAAAGTTAGTAAAATGTTGCAAGAAATGTTTTTGTAACTTTTAAATAATGTTATAATCACATCAAGAAAACTGGACATTTAAATGTTTCAGAAACATTTCAAAACAACATTCCCACAACGTTTTTATAACCTAAATTTGTCACCTGGGTTTAAACTACTTGTTTCAGAATGTTCAGAGGACATTCAAAAGTAACGTTCCCGTAATGTTTGCGAAACAATCAAATGGAATGTTCCCTTAACGTTCTCATAACCAGTTTCTAAAACATTTAAAGGGGTCATCCAATGCTACATGCACTTTTACAAGTTGTTTAAACTGAAATGTGTGTTGGCAGTGTGTGTACACAACCACCCGATAATGATGAAGATCCACCCAGTGTTTTTTTTAATCTACTCAAATCTTTACCCCTTTCTCAAATCAAGCCGATCTCAGATGCCTGTCTGTGTGATGTCACAAAGACAGGCCCCGCCCACGATAGTTTGATTGACAGTAGCGTTTCAGCACAGACTGGACTGGTGTCTTACCT